CTATTTTATCACAGTTCCCAAGTTTAATACTTATATTAATCCTAGTCTTTGCACGTATAAGAAGTTTGTTCAATCTTCGTCTGTTTCTCTCTCCTGGCCTAGGTATAGTCTGATTGAGATCCTCCCACCCTTTCTTATTTTCCATTTCCTTCGTGTTTTAATGATATTTATTTAAACTCTGACTACTTGTCTACTTTACCTTTAGTATGACGCAACTTTTAAGATTTGACCTAATTTATTTTCTGAATTGTCTACATACATACATATTACTACCTTTGTTATTCTTATTGCCATCTGCATGAACCTTATTATCACTATTTTGTTATCATTATAATCATCGTTATTAGTGACGTTGGAAACATTTAACACATTATTGATATTATTTGTTTCACAAACATCATTGGTTAAAATTTATATACATAAATCTATGTAAATTAGAGGAAAGCATGAAGATGTAATTGATAAAACAATATTGTTCTCCTATGTGTTTTGTGCTAAATTAAAACAGTACATCAATCCATGAAGTCCCCATCTTTCTGTTTGAGCCTTGTAAAGAGGTGTAGACTGACTGGGTAGGATCTTCAAGACTCTAAGAATCAGTTGATTGAGACACTTGGTGACCTATATTAACATAATAGTAATATATAGAAAAAGAGGTAGATACAATGGATATGAATGAAGATGTACTGGTTAGTCATTGCTGATGGTTAGAGGATTATTCTGCATAGTTTAGTAGTTATGTGCTCTTGAATTGGTAAAGCACTTGGAATTTAGATTTAAAGCTAAATTTTACTTAATATTTTGATGAAGCAACTTTTTCTTTCAAACTGTGATTTTTTGTCATAAGTGAACGTTAGTGATATCACCTTAGTTTATGTTGGCTGTAAAGTAAAGTGAGTTTTTCAATTGTGTGTGTGTGTGTGTGTTTGTGTAACCAAAGAAAGCTATGTTGGAAAAATTATATTTACTAGATCGAGAAATGTTGCTTGAAATATCTGCCGATCTTGAATGTCGATCAAAGTTATAAGACGAAATTTTTTTTATTTTGCAAAGATGTTTTAGTTTCAGCTTATAAACATAGAAGGAGTACGTTAGATGCCGCTGTTGTCCTCCACCATAGCATAGTCTCTAGTTTAGATAAAGGAGCTAAATACGTTCGCTGTGCCTTCCTTGATTACACATCTGCATTTGACTCTGTTCCCAGGTCTCTCTTGCCAAGTAAGCTTGCTGCAACATAGGCTGAAAGCTGGACAAATAAGTGGTTGCATTCCTATTTTTCTGAAAGGAAGCAGTACACCGTCTACAATGGAAAATCCTCCACTACCTCACTTACTTTAGCTGGTGTTCCTCAAGGTGCTGTTCTTTCTCCCTTTCTGTTTTCGTTTTTCTTACATGACTTGCCTCATTCTGATGTAGCCACTTTTGTTAAGTATGCCGATGACCTCTCGGTTTCTATGCCTGTCAACTCTCAGTCAGATTGTTCCAAATTAAATAACTTTCTGTCGGAAATTAGTCAGTGGTCCTCTTCAAACGGACTTAAGCTTAATCCGTCTAAATGTCAGGTAGTCAATTTCACTTTCAGACGTAAATGTGACCTACAGCAACTAGTTAGCTCACATGGCCCCACTCTCATTGACGGCACAGAGGTTGAAAATACATCTAATGTCAAGTACCTTGGGCTGAGTTTTTCCACCGATCTTTCCTGGTCTTCCCACATCTTGCTAGTTACTAGAAAGATGTTTCGCTTAACGTTCTACATTAGGAAATTTAGGCAGTCTGGTATAAAGCAATCTTTACTTTCTCAATTTGTAAATTCTTGTATTCTACCCATCCTCCTTTACTGCTCCCCATTAGTCTTTCCTGGACTACTTAAGAAAGACTTTGCTTCGCTGAGAAGGGCACTAAAAGCTGTTAGTAGGGCAAGTGGGATATCGTTAAACCAACTGGTGAACACTATTGTAGATAGACATATTATGTCATGTAAGAAACTAGCGAATACAATATTGTCGGACCCCGAGCATCCTCTCTATACGCATCTATCTCCTTGCATTTCATCTGGTAGAACTAGAAGCAGCTATAGGAGGCTATATGCTAGGACTACCAAATACAAAAACTCCACAATACCATATCTGGCACAGCTGTTATGTGATGAGAAATCCGTTAGGTATGACACGATAAACTTACTGCAGCACTCTAACAAATAGTCCCATTAGTTTTTGTTTTCCTTTCCTCGTTACTATTACACTGTTGTTCTCATCTTCTACCACACATCAACTTTATATTTCAAATCCTGTGGTGCATTGTTTGAAATGTAATACTCTACGCTGTTTTTTCTTAATTTTTAATTTTTATTTATTTATAACTTATTTATTTTATTTTTATTTATTTATCTTTGATTTTTAAAAATCTTATATAATTTATGAGGTAATTAGATGCAATATACTGTAATGCACGCTGAAAATTCCATACCTGTACCACAAATACCGTTTGGAATAAAGCTGTTATTATTATTATTGTATGCATCGCTCTACGTATTTAGATGTACCACCAGTCATCTTATTCACTTTCTTCTCATCACCATAATCATCTACTTTTAATGAAAAAAGATTCCTAACGCTCTTAATCAGTTGTTTCCCACTTAAGTACCTTCCTAAATGTTATTCAAGCCGTGTTTTTTTCTCTGTGATGTCATGTATGAAAGTCAAGATTTTCCTATTTGAGGTGGACGTGCCCATCTGAATCTTTGTTTAAAGACTGTATGTAGATATTACTGAGGATCGATGGTTGCGGTCTATATGCACCTGTTTTCGTCTTCGTTAGGGATACAGTATCGTATACTTATTTTCTCTATTATCTCTTATCTTCGGAGACTACGACGTATGTTCATGTTATTTCCATTCTTGTATCTTTCACTTTCCATTTAATGTACAAAAATTGGAAGGTGTGGGGTAACTGTGGATCAATGCACAGTGTGTTACTAGATCTTGGTCTGGTTCTGATTTATAGAAGCCAGTCCTGAGTTTTGGGGATTTTTCACCCACCTCAATATTTTTAATGGCTTCGAGTGAAAATTTTTCATCAAGTGCCAATCTGTAAGTTGAATGGAAGTAACTGTGGGAGTAGTTACACTGGAAGAACAGAAAGAAGCGCATACCTACGATTTTCTGAACATGTACCGAAAAACCTATGATTAAAGGGAGCAAATGTTTTAAACAGTGCCATCCCCGGGCATCTCCTTGACACGGGTCATGAAGTGGACTTCTCAAGATAGTTCAAAATTACCGATAGGCAAAAAAGTTCAATCCTCCTCAGGTTTGCTGAAGCAATCACCATCGAGTGCCTGAAAACCGATTTATGCATTCAGAAAGAGGCAGTTATCAGGCTTTCTTTGCCCTGATAACTGAATATTTCCACTTCTATTTCATCTGATTACGTAATGTTTAAAGTTTCCTTATATATGAGAAGCCAACGAATAATAAATGTTGGTACCATTTTATTCTGCTAAAACTTTTGTTCTTGTTTTATTCAAATTATCTTTTATTCTTGACGATGTCATTCAATGAATTGTATATCTGGAAGTGCCTTTATGAAAGAAAACTAATTTCAGATTATTTTTCGTGATAGTTGTAAAGAGTCGTATATCAGGAATTCAGGTTTCATGGGTAATAGTTAATGTCACTGGGTAGTTCAGTCAGGCTAGACAGCTGCATGAGTTGCCATTCGCTAAATATTTTTTTTTAGGCGTCTTCTGTCATTGAGAACTGGGAAGCATTTGGTGTCCTTGTCTTATTCTTATTATTTTGAAACTGTGGACAGTTATTACATCCCGGATACCCACACTGTGGAAGTTTATTTCTTCTTGAGATTCCTGAAGCATGAGGAGCAGTAGCGTTGCGTGACCTTGATAGACTGATGGGCAATTGCTTGAAGTTAGTCACACATGACCTGTTCGAGTTGGATCTTTGGAGTTGTATTTGTATTTAAATCTTACCTCTGACTACGAATCGGGATGTACAGTTTTCGGGGATTACCATCTCTCTACTATCCTACCAAGAACAGATAAGTAGCATTACTGTCTTGCTGGCCGTCTGAGGCAAACATCTAACTGCTTTTCCATCCTTATTTTCCAGCAGTATAATTTCTCCATCAAACCCTCAACATAGTTTAAACGATCCACAATATGATGGTAACTCTTTTTTAGTCTTATCGCTATCCGAACGGCTTTCGGGCCATGGTGGGACGTGGAGGAACATTTGTTTCATTCAGCATAGTTCATTGGATCATTTCGGTATACGAACTTGACCTGCACATCAACGTAGCTGTAATTACTCGGCGAAGTAACAGTTACTATTGTATTGATGAGTTCGCTTCATACTTTGGTACATCGAAATTAAGAAAGACTGGTATTTTATCGGTGAATGTACACTGTCCAGGTTATTTTGAATGAAGAAACATGTAAAACAGCTATACAGTTTTTTTTAAATGTTTATTTTCTCCTGCTAACGAATTAGTTGTATAACAACTGTTGAACAACATCTTCATGAATTTGCAGTATATTTTATTTTTTTATTTTTGATTACAGCTTGATTCCACACCGTATTTTTAATACAGGTGTGGGATTTTCAGCATATGATATCGGTAGCCCAAATTTTGCAGGCGGACCATAGATATTGGGTGTGCGTCGTCGGCAGGGGATTGAACCCCGGTCCATGTGCATGGTCGGCGAGCGTCCTAACCGCTATGCCTTGTATTATCACTACAGTTTACTGTTTTCACCTTGGGACCAGTAAATTGATAGATACACATACCAGCAGTGAATAGCCTGATTCAATCAATGTGCTTTTTATTTCCTCTTCTTCTTTTGTAAAATTATTCTAGTAACCGATAGGTGATTGTTTGTAGACAGTTGCATTGTTTAATTTTGTATTTGTTAAATACTTTCTAATTTCTTCTTTTCTTTCCATTTTAATACACGTATGCATTCAAACTGTATTGTATAGGCGATCCTGGTCTAGGTAAAAGTCAATTACTTCGTGCTGCTGCAAGTTTAGCACCAAGAGTTCTATATGTATGCGGGAATACTGCAACAGCTGCTGGTCTAACTGTTAGCACTATTCGTGAAGGTAGTAACAGTGGTGGAGGATTCGGTCTAGAAGCAGGCGCATTAGTTTTAGCAGACCAGGTATGTCATTTATTTATTTATTTATCTTGAATTATGTTCAGTTAATACGTGTTGAAGTATGATAAGAAAGGATTTATTAGCTCATGTATGGTTGTGTTCTCTTTGAGCTGGATAGTTTGATTGTGTTAAGCTTTCATTTTTCTTTTCTAGACGCAATATTTACAGCGTATACTTCACGTTGATGTTTAAACTACCCAACTCAGGGAATACAACCACATCAACATTATTGTAGTATGAAAATATTAGAGATAATTTTTATTAGTAGATTGGCTTTAATGCTTTTCAGTCAATTCAGTAGCTCTGAAGTCTTTCAACTGCAATCATAATAAACACATTTATTTTTCGTACCATTCATAGACTGTATGCAGATAGATGGGCAGTAAAGACATTACTTGACTGGATCCCAGTAGATAGCCGAATGTGTGCTGTCCGTCTGAACGGATCGGTAAAAAGGAGAAAGGACTGCACTACTCGCCGATGCCTTTTCGTAATCTCCGCCTACGCCCCCACTGACTGCAGTTCGGATGAAACGAAGGATGAGTTCTACCAAAAGCTGTCTAGTTTGGTGAGAAAGGCTAAACGCTCAGATATAGTCGTTCTAGCTGGTGACTTTAACGCTCAAGTAGGGAAATTGTGTCAATCTGAGAAGGATGTCGGTGGCACCTATGGAGTTCCGTGCCAGCGAACCGACAACGGTGACCGTCTCCTACAGTTCTGTTCAGATAATCATTTGTTTCTTGTAAGCACTAACTTTAAACACAAGGAGAGACACTGTTTAACCTGGCGACCCCCATCATCAAACCAACGCTGGACACAAATAGACCACATAGCAATAAGCTATCGTTGGCGTGGGTCGGTAGGAGATTGTCGCTCCTTCTGGAACACGTGTGTAGATACCGATCACGCACTGGTCCGGGCTCGTGTGTGCTTACGACTGAACGGACGTAGGAAACAGCTGGCGGTAAAACCATCACGTCCCCAGCTCGATCAGGAAACTAAATCCCTATTTGAGGAAGAACTAGCTAAACGCATATCTGTGTTCGACAGCTGTGCTCACCCTGGAGAAGCCTGGAAGAATATTCAGTCAGCCATAGATACAGCTGTAAAAGCTGTGAATAAGGCAAATCCAAAGGTGAGTAAAAACCACTGGATTTCGACTGCCTCATCCGAACTGATAGATGCTAGAAGACTTATTCCGGCGAGCTCCGAATTCAATGAGGAGCGAAAGCTGCACAAAAGGAAACTTACTAAAAGTCTCCGCAAGGACCGTGAACAGTGGTGGGTGACAAAGGCGAAAGAGATGGAAAAAGCATCGGCGATAGGCAACACTAGGCAACTCTTTAGACTCATCAGGGAAACGGGTGGGAGAAGGCAAATCATAAGTGAGACTATTTCTGAGAAAAATGGCTCCTTAATTAGCTCTCAGGATAGACGCCTTGAACGCTGGAAAGAACACTTTGAGGACAATTTAACTTGCCTACAGCCACACTGAACCTCCCCGACATCCAGACACACCCGAATGGGATATAGACACTGGTCCGCCGTCTGTAAGTGAGGTCACAAAAGCTATCAGTAATTTGAAACGAGGCAAAGCGGCAGGACCCGACGGAATTATTCCGGAGGTGTTTAAATATGGGGGTGACATACTAGTTTGTAGATTAACTGAGGTACTAGGCAAAGTCTGGGAATCAGAGACAGTGCCATCAGACTGGGGTAAGTCACTTATTATACCGATATTCAAGAAGGGAAACAAGTCCTCGTGTGATAATCATAGGGGGATCAGCCTAACGAACATAGTCTCTAAAATCCTAGGCTCAGTAATCATGCATAGACTAAGCAGAACTCGGGAGGAACAGACAAGGGAAAATCAAGCAGGCTTTAGACCAGGTAGAGGGTGCATAGATCATATCTTCACTCTTCGACAGATTCTAGAACATAGACACACTTTTCGGCGTCCAACAATTGTCATATTTCTTGACTTGAAGGCGGCCTTCGACTCCGTGGATCGAAAGGTACTATGGCAATGTCTGACTGTGAAGGGAGTGCCAAGAAAGTACATTGCACTAATCAAGGCACTCTATTCAAACTCACGTAGTCGTGTAAGGGCTTATGGGGAATTGTCATCTGAATTGGTAACAACCAGTGGTGTCCGACAGGGATGTCCACTTTCCCCATTTCTGTTTAACTTCATCATAGATATGCTAATGGAAGTATCCTTAACTGAACGTAGTGACTTAGGAATCGACTTGTTACCAGGGAATAATCTAATGGACTTAGAATATGCAGATGACATAGTCCTGTTAGGGGAGGATGCTGACAAAATGCAGAGTCTTCTGAACACCTTGAGCAGCAATCTTCGTATGTTTGGCATGCGATTCGCCCCTGCAAAATGTAAGATGCTGCTACAGGACTGGACCACGTCAACTCCTAACTTAGTGATAGGGAGTGAAGTGATAGAACATGTTGACCACTTCACCTATTTGGGAAGTTGTATTAGCACCAACGGACTGATTGGCGATGAAATCTCAGCACGGATCCGAAAAGCTCGAGCTGCTTTCGCTGACTTACACCATCTCTGGCGTAGGCGTGACATCCGGTTATCAACCAAGGGACGTGTGTACTGCTCATCAGTTCGCTCCGTCCTTCTCTATGGCTCTGAAACATGGCCAATACGCGTTGAAGACATGAAAAGGTTGACTGCTTTCGATCATAGATGTCTGCGATCTCTGTCTCACGTTAGGTGGTTTCACAAGGTAAGTAATGTTGACGTTAGGCGTAGAGTGTTGGGCAAAGAGGGAAAATCAATCGACGAGGCTATAAAGTTACATAGACTAAGATGGCTAGGTCACGTGCTGCGCATGCCTAACCACCGCCTCCCCCGACGGGCATTGCTAGCTGATATAGGTTCAGGTTGGAAAAGAGCCAGTGGTGGCCAAACAAAAACATGGCATCAATCCATGAAATCCTTGACAGTTAAACTGAGTCAGGTAGGGAGATGCAGACTCCCGGGTTGGGGCCCTCGGGACTCTAGGAATCAATGGCTGGAGACAATAGGTGACATGGCTCAAAATCGTTGTCAATGGCCAGCGCAGATGTATTCAGTCTCTGTAATCTTTCATATTCCTTTCTACCATTACCCATTCTGTTTCACTCTTATACTTGTCAAACTCTATTGATTCTCTTCACTCATCTTCTTGTCTACCTCTGTGTGCTATTTGGAACGTGGCAACTCGAACTGCTGCACTTCGGTGCCAAGTTCTATGTTGAACCCAGACAGACAGACAGACAGATGGGCAGTATTTATCAATATAAGATCTAGTATTATTACCTATTTAGAAATACACATGTTATGATTTCTACATAGTTACGAAAGTTTATTTAGATGAGTGCATCAGATATATGTTAGGTATACTTGTAGATTTTGATTAGATTCATAAGAGGGATTTCTTTGCATTTCTACGGGGACACAGAGCTTCAAGCTTTGAAGTTTCAGTGACGGTGATGTTTTTCTGTCGAGGTGAGGTCGCTAGCCTCACTCTGAATCTTCCCCTCATTACGACGCTTACAACAGGTCAGTAAAACTAGGCGAGGGTTTAGGAGTGCGTTACCTAGTAACGAACCCCAAACCACATGCTGCCATAGCTATCGAGTATTTTACTACTGAACCACCAACACATACAATCAACATATATAATTTCGTTAAAAAACACATTTTCGCATGAATTTACGGATAAACATGTTATTTTCTGTTCAATACCGGTAAATACAAAACATGCGCTTCAGGCTTTCTTCCAATTTCGTTCAAATATTCAAGTCCATATAAAGTATTTATCACAGCTCACAATCTCATCAAAGACGGCTTGACTGATAGAAACTAATCTGCACCAACGCATGACACCGGTTAATAATATAATAATTTTTCCTTCACGTTCCCAGTGGAACATAGGGCTTCAAGGTAGTGGCTTGAAGTTTCTGTAGCAGTGTTTATTTTTACAGGATGGGGTTGCCAGCCTTATCCCCAACCTTTCCTCTTAACCAGCATTATTTCTGGCTCAGTGAGGTAAAGGAGTGAATCGGAGGGCCGGAAATCGAACCCCGGACCATTTGGATGGTCGGGGAGCATCTTAACCGCTGTGCCACCAACGCACCGGTTACTACTACCTAACCACCAGTGAATGTATCCATCATAGTCCAACAGGAGGTCAATCGTGAATCCGAATAACTGAGTGTTAACATCTCTCATTACAGCACTGGGTGACCCCGGCTAAAATCTTAGAGGAGATACGAGTTCCCTCAAGACTCCATATACGTCTTGCTAACCGATCTGACAGTAAGGAATAACACGTAATGCATTTTCGGGAGTTGTGGCCTCATTGTCTTAATCACTTATCTTACAGCCACTATATTTCAGATACGAATATAACACCATCAATCTCCTTCATATCAGGTAACAGGAAAGTTCTCATACAGTAAGTGTCGCTCACAGCTTTCTACATCAAAGATATTCCGAAAAAACAGTACTAGTGATACAGCAAGGAATTTTCAGTATTCAGTACAATATTGCATCTTATTTACTCAAAACGCCAAAAAAATAAACATTACGTAGTAATACTACTACTACTAAAAATAATAATAACAAAACGTTGTTATACCAGCTATGTAGCAATTACAGTATGTGCGATAAGGAGAAAAATATGCATAAAGTATAAAATTGTAGTAATAATAGTGATAACAACTTAAATAAAATAGCAAAGTTATAATTAAACGATAGAAAGGGTGACACCATAAAATTACAGAAAGATGACTAATGAAAGGGTCGATTCACTTTGCTAATTACATAGTAACTTGTAAGTTTCACGTCTAACAGAGTCTTCGTCACATAAAGTACGGGCTAAATAGGGTATTGTAGAATTTCTATACTTAGTGGTACGAGCATATAACTTTTATATTGACTTCTCGTCCTACCTGATGAGATACAAGGGGACAGGTGTGAATAAAGG